AAGTACAAACAACTGAGATTCTTCATAAATATTGAGGATTGTTGATGGTGGACTTCTCAATTTCAATGGGAGCTTCCATATGAACAGATCAAAAAGAGTGAAGCTGTGGAACTTGTGTCATTCAGTGCTTCACATTTTAGGTAGGATGTTAAGTGGAACATTAGTACATAACAACTCTTTGGGCTGAAATCAAGTCTAGCATCTTACATTAAGAAGATTAATTAGTTTATGTTTATAAAGTACTGTGCAGATATGCCCTTTTAAAATGCTATGTATTCTAAAAACTACATTGTAGCATTTTACTAAATTTAAATGATCTAACATTCATCTTTTCTTTGGTACAGGTTGGCAAAGATTCTTTTGGCAATGATTATATAGAAAACTTAAAACAGAATGATATTTCTACAGGTAAAATTTCATCTTTTTTAAAGTTAGTTTTTATAACTTTCTCTGGGATCTCATTATTATAAGAAAAACTGAGTATAGAATAGAATTATTAGATCCTCCCCTAGTGGACAGAGAATTTTTATGCATAGCTTTGTCTAGTCTTTCTTAAATGTTGTTTGGCTAATTCTTTCATGTACATTCCTCCAGGTGGGAAATAAAATGGTAGGAAGTTACAGACCTTCATCTCATAAAAGTGTTTCAAAAGCAGGTGATAAGATAAAACAGGTGGCACATTCACAAAAGATAGTTTAAGAAAAGTCACTGAATGTCGTAGCTGGCAACGATTGAGGCTGATACCATCATTTCACAAAAGAGAAAACTGAAGGCCAGATTGGTTCTGAATTTGTCCAAGAGCACACAGCTAGTTGGAGCTAGAGCCAGGACAAGAATGAAGATCTCTGGCTGCAGTTCAAGGCTCTTTGCTGCTCCCATTTACACACCAGACCATAATTCTTGATGAGATGCAAAGCTTATGAGAGAGAAGAAATGCAAACAAGTTCATTTTAGAGGGTTAACCTTTAATCTTTCATCTCAAGTCTGTCTTTTCTTCCACTGAAGGAAAGAAATATGGTGGACTAGAAGAATACATATGTATGTTACTATGAATAATTTGAGGGAACTGGCAGTGGGGGTGGTTTGCTGCGCTGTTACTGATATAGGGAAAAGGTACAACTAAGTGTAAAGACTTCTATTTTCCTCATTTTATAGGTGATGGGTATAAATTAGCACTGATTACTTATTTCTTTTTTATCATTCCAGATGGCTAAAGGTTAAAAAGAGTTTCCAAGGATTAGTGGTGCATTGAAATTGTTAAAATAGATTATCCATGCCAGGCTGTATATATGTGATAGTAATTTCTTTTTTCTTTTAGAATTTACATATCAGACTAAAGATGCTGCGACAGGAACTGCTTCTATAATTGTCAATAGTGAAGGTATGTGCTTCGCATATTGGAGTGTCATCTCATAAACAGCTCCTGTCCAGAAGTGGAGCAGAAGCATCAATTTTTACCCTAATCCTATGGTTCTCTTACCATACCTACCACTCTAAGGCCTAATTGAAATCTGGTAACATCCCATTACCCTTGGCATGAACTCAGAATAGATACTTGTCTTTAAAAGCAGTTAAGTATTCATCTGTCATTTCAGTTACACTAGGTAAATATAAATAGGTACAAAAGTAAGTTGATGAAACATATTTATAGAATATTTACTGAGCAAATGGCAGCAACTAATTACTTCCAACTTATCATTAGTGTTCAATTTTATCTACTCTTTAAACAGCAATCAAATCTCAAAAGTCTGTATATACAACTACGTCTGTCGCAAGGCCTTGTAATAACTGAAATATTTATCTTTAAAAACAGTAACTTTCCTTTACCCTCTAAGTTTTCATAATTTCTGCCAACTGTTTTAAGTTTAAAAACATCTATGTAAGATTCTTTAAATCAGAATTAATATCTGAAAGATCAACCATTTCATGGGGTACCTAAGACAGAACCTAGTCACTGTGGGCAGTAAGCATGCATTGTGTTAAATTAGGCTTTGTTACAATATGTCTTTTATTTATATAGTACAGTTTCACAAGGTCATTTCTCACATTAAGTATTTTTAGCTCTACCTTAATGATCCCAAAGCTACAATAAAACAACAACAAAATGTATTCCACTCAAATAGAGTAGATAAAAGTTTTCATGGTAATAGGCATTCTGTGTTCATTACTTTAATCTTCATCTGAATTAATTATTGCTGCCAATCCTTGTCTTCAATCTCTCTTTTGTGTTATGGGGCTATCTTCAAGTTCTGTTTCTTCCTTATCTGTGTAACAAATATGGCATTTTCCACACAAAGATATAATTTAATATTGTGTATCTGAGTGCCTAGTATATGGTAGACTTTGGTTTATAGTATGTGGCAATACCTTCAAAAGTATAGATTGAGTAGAAGAGCTAACACAAATACCCAGAGAAAGGGCAGTCACCTCCTTTGAAAGCAAGGTAAAGGAAGGAGTTCAGCTTTGACAGGTAACTTTGAGGCATGAATGAGCTGACCACATGGCAGTGTCCACCAGACATCTGTAGTCTTGGGCTTGTTTCTCATCAGCCAAGGCCAGGCCAGAAATACAGATCCGGAGTCGGCAGCACAGAAGCAGCAGGTTGACTCTACCTGACGAATGAGGTCACTGAAGGAGAAAAGGGAAGAGGAGTGCTGTCTTCCAGTGTGTGGCTATTTTGAATTTTTCCAGTACTAAAGTTGGGTTTATACTGAACCATCCCCACTTTATTAAGTCTTCCCTGTGACCAACAAACACATCTGTGGCAAGATGATAGGCTAGCATGTGCTTTGTGTTCAGAGGTCATTTTAGGTCATGTCTATACAAGATCAACATGAGCAGCCTGGAACACAAAGCAAAGACACAAGTGCTGCAACTCATCCCTCCGGATCAGTGCTGTGCAGCAGATATAACGCAAGCCAGGTATCTAATTTTAAATTTTCTATTAGCCACAATTTAAAAAGTAAAGAGAAACATAATATTTATCTTAACATATTCACTTAACCCAATATATCTAGAATATCATCCTTCTAATATGTAATATAAATATTCTTAAAATTTACTGAGATATTTTACCTTCTTTGTTTTGTACTCAGCCTTTGAAATCTGCTATGTATTGTACCAGTAAAGCCCATCTTAATTTTGACTAGACATACTTCAAGTGCTCAATAGCCACATGTGACTTGTGCTCATGACTATCATATTGGACAGCACAGCCCCTGAGAGTTCACCTGATGGATAAAATGCACCACCACCCTTCCCCCACTTAGGTGGAATTGTAGAGAGGAGGTCCAAGTGATAAGTTTATAAGATTCCTTAGTCCTGCTTCTGTTTGGTCCGGTACAGTATAGGTCAAATATCCGTCTCTCCTCCTTAAGTTATCTAGTACAATTTTCCTTCTGTTAGATATTATAAAACGTGTTTTGATTTATAAGGTCACTTTGCAGAATACCCTAGGGGATACACACAAGCTGACTGTATACCACAGAGTATTAGCTTTCAGCGTTAGGCAAGTTTATTCCTATTTATACTCATCATTATGACATCTGTCATTTAGGATTCAGAATCTTTACCGCATACATTGTACCAGCCATTTTCCATAGAAGAAACTGTAAAGTATGTTTTGTATCATTTCTCAGCTAATAGTCTTTGTATGTAAGAATGCTGATAAGGTAAATCTTTTTTTTAGATTTTGCTCAAAATGATCAGAACACTATGAATCTTACAGAGGTAGTGTAATAGAAGATACAGTAGGATTACAAAACTCAACCTGAATGGTCTAGGAATAGTAAAACTAACATTACAAAACATTTTGTATAACAACTTTGTGAGGGTGACTGTAACTTTGTAAAATATCATTGCTTGGCTTTGCTTGTGATTTTTAATATAAATATGTAGAAATTCTTTATAGGCCAGAATATCATCGTTATAGTGGCTGGAGCAAATTTACTTTTGAATACTCAAGACCTGAGGGAAGCAGCCGGCGCCATTCGCAGAGCCAAAGTAATGATCTGCCAGCTAGAAGTAACTCCAACAACTTCTTTAGAAGCCCTGACAATGGCCCACAGCGATGGAGGTGAATTCACATATTCGTCACTCTTTCTATAAAAGCTTTTACCACTGTATTAATGAAAGTTCACCTTTCAAGTTAAGCAAAGCCATACTTTTTCTGTAGTAAAATAAGCTTTCTACCATCTGTGAGATTCACTGTCTTCCTGTAGTTCTCGATAACATTAGAAAACCTTACAAACAGGGCAAAAATAACATGAGTAGCATTTCTGATAGCCCACAATATAAATCTTCAATATAGTGAGCAGAAATGATACAACAAATAATACAGTACAAATAGAACCTCTGAAGCAGCCCATTGTCCACGATACATTCCCAAGTAGTAGAACGATTTCCTTTCTGAAAAGCAAAGGTTATAATAAGCTGCATGTCATGTGTAGTCACTGCCCAGGTACATTTTGATAAACATCTCCAAGAATTGAAGATTAGTTCCTGCTCATTTTTTGTAAAACTTTTACCATCTTTTCTATAAACAACAAAAAACGATTTAAGTGTGAAACTTTGTATTTGTTAGTGTCTTTTAAACAGGTCTTTTGTTTTGTTTGCCCTTTGATTTTGCAAATTTTCAAACATACAGAAGCAAGCAGAATTGTAGCATGAACCCATCATCAGCTTCAGCAGTTATCAACCTGTGGCTGACCTTGATCCAGCTATTCTTCCACCCACGCCCTGTCTTGACCTCCCAACAAATAACAAACTTTTTAAAAATCTGGATAGTTTCTTCCTGTTTGCTTCTTTTTCACCACTGACTAGTGGGAAAAGCATCTTAACTTTCCAGATACAACTTTATCATCAAGGTACAAAACTTAAGAAAAGAAAAGAAAAAGAACAGTAAGTGTGTGTGTGTGTGTGTGTGTGTGTGTGTGTGTGTGTGTGTGTGTGTGTGTGTGTAAGTAAGTGATTTCTCCCAAAGGGCATAGCATTCTACAAAGCAATAAATGGAGAATAAGTTACTGAAATAATTTTGTGGAGAATTTTAAAATGTATGTCCTGATTTAACAAATTTTCCTCTTGGCAAAAACAACATGCCGTGGCAAATTTTCACTGACATTTAATGTGTTTTTAATGGACTCGAAGCTGTCACAAAGAATTCTAAGCCAAAACCCATTTTTTTTCACTGACATTTAATGTGTTTTTAATGGACTCGAAGCTGTCACAAAGAATTCTAAGCCAAAACCCATTTGGTTACATTTTCTCAGGGTGTCACAGATAAAGTCTAATGCTTATGGTAAGCATTCTTTGCACTGCACTCATCTTAAATGGCTGATGAGAATACAGCCTGCCACTTCATTCATGCTCCTGTCTTCCCTTATATATGTCAAAGCATATTCACATGTATGACTTTCTCTTTTTTTCCTACCATCCCTTGCTCCTCAGAGTTCACTGTTTCCTCTGTCCTAGCCTACTTACCTATTACTTACCCAGCTTGCAGAAGAGAGAAAGGCGCAGCAGCCACACTTGAGGAGCTAACCTTCCACAGGTGAGGCTACAGTTATCTGGATGGACAGGCAGCCTGACCTCGGCTGTCATTTGGGTGGGTGCCAGACATGCTTCCTCCACCACCTCAGGCAGTTCTTCCAGCGGAGAAGCTGGAGGACCTGGGGCATCGGGCACGGGCAGGGCAGGTGATGGTGGGCCAAAGACTATGTAGCCTACTTCACATTTTTACTACAAGCCAGCATGCTTAAGTGTTAACTCTGCATGATCTTCCTTATGTAGGAGTATTAAAGTAGTACTACCTTGTATTTATATGTTGCAGCTTATAAAGCATTTTCACCTAAGTCTGGTCCTCAGAAAAACCTTATGACAAAGATACGGCAGGCATTGTTCTCCCAGACTGTAGGTGAGCAGACAGACTCAGAGAGGTGAAATAATTAGCTCAACCCAAGGTCAGTGTAGAAAACCAGGATTTCAGACTCCAAAACCCAACCTGTGTCCTTGACCACGCTTTTTAAATAGCAACTGCCACAACCCATTGATTTCAAGGAACTGAGCCTTATGAAGAGTATCTAGAAAAGTAAAATCCATTAGTTGTAACATTGTCCAATATGTAGCCTCAGCTTTGAGTGGTTCTGCTGCTGAAGTCACAGAGGTGAAACTAGAATGTTTTCAGCAATGTGACCCATCTCCATGAAACACACACATACACATACACACACACACACACACACTCTCTCTCTCTCTCTCTCTCTCTCTCTCTCTCTCTTACTTCTCTGTCCAGAATTCAGCTGGTGCCCATTTGGTACTTACCAGCCAGAAGCAACATGGATTCTGTATACTGTGTGTGTGTGTGTGTATTCAGTGTAGCCATTCTCACGTGGGAGAAGTGTGGTACAATGAATGTGACTGCTTTGGGAGTCACGAAGTATGACTTTGAATTCAGAATCACTCACTCAGCAAATGGTGGACTTCATGCAAGTCAGGCAGTCCTTGCTCTGGGCCTCAGTTTATTCTGTGAAATGAGAATTGGGCCAAGAGTTCTCACAGTTTTTTAATGTCATGATGTGAGCAGACAAAACTTAAAATCAGCATTATTCCACCTACAAAAAGGATGGTAAAATCATCATTGTCATCTGTGGGTTTATTATCACAGCACCCTTATCTGTATTATTTATAAGTAGTGAAGTTCAAATGAAACACATCGTATAACTAGATTATATATCAGTTGTTAAAATACAGAGGAAAAAGACCCCGCCCTCCATCTTTGAATACACTGTGTCAGAAATCTGTCTTGACCAAAATGAAAGGATTAGTTTTAAACAGCACCTGCAGCATCAAACATGAACCAGTAGCCTCCTTACATGCCCTTCCTCTCTAGGTCATGATGCCGTGAGGTAGGCCCATGGGCAGAGCTGCTCCTGCAGCTGCTGGTGACAAAAGTATACATGTTGGTTCTGTTCTTTATATCCATTTCAAGGCAAATGGAATATTACAGGAACAATTATAAATAACTGAGATTGTAAGATCACCAAGGTTAAATTCTAGGTAGGATACAAAATATCTTTTAATGCCACTTTCATCCTTTTCCATTTGGCAAACAAACCTTCTTGTCTGGCCACCTTGAGTTTCACAGTAGCGTTGTCCAGCACAGAGCCCACAGTTTGAGTATTCGTGCTGCTCAGGTCACAGAAAAGAACCTCTGGAGTGAGAGATGGCCAAGCAGTGTTTTGGTTACCTCAGCCTTCCCTTTGGTTTCTCTATTTAGGATGATTTTCCTCCCCTGTTTCTCTAAGCTAGTTATCAGGACCTTCTTTACTGTCCAGCCCCTGCCTCCCATGGGGACATCATTAAGAGCTTCCACCTCATTTTCCTGTCTTTGCACCTGTACCTCACCAGTTCCTCACTGCCATTACTGTGCCAGCCACTGACATGCTGTTAAGACAACCGGGAGTTTAGTCCTTCTTACATTGTGATGAATAATAATTACTGTTGGGTGTTATCAGTCACCTCTAGAGCTCCATGTCACTCCATGGTATATCCTGTGTTCTCTAGCTTTGCATGGTTCCAGAATGACATCATTTCTTTTCCCATCTTTTCCATTACAACTTTGCATTCCTCTTTGATTAATCACATTCTACTAATTCTTCATTTTTTTCCCCATCTTGGTAAAATACTTTACTTTATGGCATTTTCACTTTTCCCCTAAACTCAGTTACCAGTAAGACTATAAGCCTATGTATCCAGTTACTATTGGTAAGAAAGCTTTCCCTCAGTAAAATACAGGCAAGTAAGATCTGAATGATTTTTATACAACATTTATGGTCAAATTAAATTGTAGAATTCCTCATTCCAGCAATTGTTGCTTAAAATTCAATGTGACTGTTTCTTTACAATTTGTTTTTATTGTGGAAAACTTCAAATATTTATGGGCATATAGAGAATAGTATGGTAAATCCACCTGTGCTATCATTTAGCTTGAACAGTTATCAACACATGGCCAATGTTGTTCCAGCTACACCCCAGCTCATTTCTCCCCACCCTCCACTGTGAATCTGGATTATTTTGAAGCAAAATCCAGAAATTATTTCATTCACAGTATACTTGTTTTTTGATGTAAGATATTATATATGTTTTATGAATGATGTCTTTGCATGGTGTACAGCAGATAATCTGTGGTCAGATTTATTCCCATCACCTTTTATAACTAATCACTTATTAATTTAGTGAGTACCTCTTAGACTTCTTTCTCATCTGTGTAACTGTACAAATGTAAATATACATGTAGTTATGTTTTAATTGTTTTGTTAAAAAAAGGATCATACAATAGGTTTTATTACAAAACTGCCCTTTTTTTTTACTAATAAATAAATTATAAAAATTCTTCTGTGACAAAACAGATCTGCTTCATTCTTTCTAACAGCAGAGTGCCTCACTGGATGTATATATCATAATTTTTTTAAGCAGTCCTCTCCGAGATACTTGGGTTTCTTTCTTGTTTTGTTTCATTTTTTTCTGTTAAAACCAGAGTTGAGTGGACAGCACTGTCATCACCTTATGTTTGCATGCGTAGGTATTTCTGTCAGATAGGTTTAGAAAAGGAATTGCTAGGTCAGAGATCTTTTGCGATAAAAGGGAACATTTGTAAGAATGACCCTATCCTGTTGTTCCATACTGGTAGCTTGCTCTTGCCTGTGCTCAAATGCTCCCAGGTGCAGATCTGAGGATCATATTAGTGGAGCAGTGGCGTTGCTATTTAATGTTTGAGGAAAATAGGGAAAAATATATTTGTTCTGAAAATCTAAAAAGCAAATGGGTGTGTTGGAATGCTGGGCAAGGAGGGCTTTTATGCATAACTGACATCTCAAAGACCTTGCACAAGCAGGAAAACCAATGAGAGAGAATGTTGCCAGGCTACAAACTCAAATAGAAGGCAGAATAGATGGGTGGACAGGTGGGGGTATCAGGCTGGAAAGGACAATATAGTAACAGTAATAATCCCTTACATTGATACAACACTTTACAGTTTACACAGGGCTTTTCCATCCACTTTCTAATTTAAGCTACAGAATAACCCTGTGTAAAAATATATATGCCAAAAATATACTGTAGAATTTCTGTGGGTGGACATTCTGGATTCTAAAACAATGAAAATGTGAGAAGAATGTTAGCCTATAAACCACAAGATCCACTAACCAACCAAAATGTTCAGACCAAGGACGGTACAGAAGCAAACTAGATAGTCTCACCAGGCAGAAGCAGTGGACAGTCTCCATTAGCCACATGCTGATTAGCGTCTCCCCTAGAATGTGGGATAGATCAGTGCCAAGATAGCTACGGAAGAGGCATTTTGGAGAACTTGTAAATGTGTACATTCCCTGATCCTACCCCCAAGAGTTTCTGATTTAGGGGGTTTGAGGTGGATCCCAGAAATCATGCATTTTAACAAGCTCTCCTAGTGACGCTGAGGTACAACCAAGTTTGTGAAACACTGTTCTAGAAGAGTCTCTAACAGCGGCAGCTAGAGTATTTTACTCTATAGTCTGTAGTAAACTGGAGTTACAAAACACGTGAGCCAGTAAACCTGAAGAGAGGAAAGGAAGACCAACCTATCCAGTTGGGTGCTCTGATGTTCTGACAAAGGGGGAGCTTCCTGTGAATGTAATTTCTAAAGACTTTTAAAAATATATGTTTACCAAGTTTCACACCAAAGGCTACTTTAAAATATTTTGAATTGGGATTAGGGGCTTGGGGCTTGTGTTGCTATGAACAGAGTCCTGGACAAAAGAGGCAACTATTTTAGAGACAACCAAATCCTGGACTCCCCAGGTAGGGACTCAGCTTAACAATGTCACAGTATATGCCTAGACCGTGACTTCATTACTCTGGGACTCTTCATTCTCTGAAAAATGCACTTCTTTTGACATATAATGGCTATAACATTCTCATTTTCCCTGTTCCCACCATCCCATCCATTCCTCTGCTATAGTCTCTTGGTCTGAGCTAGCTCTCAGCCTCTAATTAAATTTCTCCTCCTATCTCAATTTTTCCTTTACATTCCCAGATTGCTCACAGTAGCCAAGAATCTAAGCTTTTGTATAAGTGCATATGTTTGCATAAGTAATCATGATATATTTAGAACACATATATAGGTGTTCAAAATACATATATGTACATGAACTTTCTACTTACTGTTCTTATCAGGGAAGTGTTGAGATCTTCATTATTTCTTTTCCATCATCTCTTTTTTCTTTCCTGGAAAATGGATTTATGAATGAGCCTTCCAACTAAGCATTTAAAGTAACCCACAAAAATGTTCACCAGCCTGAATGGTCACACTCATACATGTCCTTTCATGTCACATTTAAAATTTTCTTTAATATTCTTCCCTTGGCCATAACTTTGTGATCACCTTGGTTGTAAATACTGATGCTTGCTCTTGAAGCTGAAATGTTAAAAAGTGAAAACTAGAGCAAATGGAAACAAGGAGTTGGTTCAAACTATACTACAAAGCTATAGTAATCGAAACAGCATGGTACAGGCACAAAAACAGACACACAGATCAATGGAATAGAATACAGAGCCCAGAAATAAGCCCACACATATATGGTCAAATAATCTATGACAAAGGAGGCAAGAATATACAGTAGGTAAAAGAGAGTCTCTTCAATAAGTGGTGCTGGGAAAACTGGACAGCTATATGCAAAAGAATGAAACTGGACCCCTCTCTTACACCATACACAAAAATAAAATGAAAATGGCTTAAACACTTGAATGTAAAACCTGAAACCATAAGACTCCTAGAAGAAAACATAGGCAGTAAGTTCTCTGACCTCAGTCTTAGCAATGTTTTTGCAAAAAATGTTGCTCAATCTCCTCAAGCAAGGGCAACAAAAGTTAAAATAAACAAATGGAATTACATCAAGCTAAAAGCTTTTGCATAGTAAAGGAAACCATCAACAAAATGAAAAGCCAACATACTAAGTGGCAGAAGATATTTGCAAATCATTCATCCAATAAGGGGTTAATATCCAAAATACATAAAGAACTTACACAACTTAATATAAAGAAAATTTTTAATGGGCAGAAGACTTGAATAGACATTTTTTCCAAAGAAAATATACAAATGGCCAACAGGCACAAGAAAACATGCTCAACATCACTAATCTTCAGAGAAATGCAAACCAAAACCACAATGAGATATAACTTCACACCAGTCAGATTAGGTACTATCAAAAAGAGAAAAAACAACAAGTATTAGCAAGGATGTGGAAAAAAGGGAACACTATCCACTGTTGGTTGTACGATGTAAATCAGTGCAGCCACGATGGAAAACAGCATGGAGTTCCTCAAAAAATTAAAAATAAGAGTGACCATATGGTCCAACAGTTCTACACTGGGTATTTAAAGAAAACAAAAACACTAACTCAGAAAGGTATGTGCCACCTCATGTTCACTGCAGCATTATTTACAGTAGCCAAGATATGCTACCTAAGTGTCCCTCAATGGGTGAATAGATAAAGAAGCTATGGTGTATATACACAATGGAATATTGCTCAGCCATAAAAAGAATGAAACCTTCCCATTTGCAACAACATGGATGGACCTAGAGCACATTATGCTAAGTGAAATAAGTCAGACAGAAAATAAGCACCATATGATTTCACTTATATGTGGAACCTAAAAAAATAAAACAAACAAATAAGACAGAAACAGACTAGTAGGTACAAGAAACTGCTGGTTACCAGAGTGAGGAGGGGTTTGGGGGCCAGGTGAAATGGGTGAAGGGAATTAAGAGGTACAAACATCTGGTTATAAAATAAATAAGTTATAATGTAATATATAGCATAGGGAATATAGTCAATATTATAATAACTGCATAGTGACATACAGTAACTAGACTTACTGTGGGCATCATTTTGTAATGTACAAAAATACCAAATCACTATGGTGTACATCTGAAATTAATAGGATATTGTATGCCAATTATACTTCAATTTTAAAAAAGGAGTTGGTAGTAACCTATGATGGAGATTGAAATTTCAGACTTTTCTGTATCTGTATCTAAGGTGATTTTTAATCTTAGGGGGAAAATGGTTGCACTTGGAGATTTCCCTTACTGAATGTCTGTAATGCACCATGTTAAAAATGATAACCACTGATTTTTCCATTCCTTTGTAGTGAAAACATTGTTCAATCCAGCCCCTGCCATTGCTGACCTGGACCCCCGGTTCTACACCCTCTCAGATGTGTTCTGCTGCAATGAAAGTGAGGTGAGGTTGGAACGTTTGCTTATGGCATGAGAACCAAAGACTTTAATGTAAGCAAATGAAAAGGCAAGAATAACCACATCTGTTTGATTGCATGCGAATCCTTGGGCCCAGTGAAAACAGATTTTTCAGTTGACTGGGGTCATGGAGAAAAGGAAATTAGTGAGTCCAAGATTTAAAAAAAAGGATTCCCTGAGCCATCTCCATAATCTGGCACTTATCAAACCACAGCTAATTTTAGTTTTCCTTCCTCCTCTCAATTATTGATGTTTTGTTTTCTTTTTTAACTATTTTGTTTTTATGGCCCAATTAGGATTTGACTTGCAAGATTTAGCAAATAAAAATATAGGATGCACTTATGACTATAGACTATCTACGGTTAAAAGGACATATGGGAGGTGAACAGATCCCAGAAATGGGCTGCTTTAATTTGTCTGATTTCTCTCAGACTGTTCAAGTACAGTTGGACAATATCCATCATATCATAGACAAATTTTCACAAATGCCTAGGGTGCCTAAATGGTTTTCTTGGCTTCACTGGAGATGGAT